AACCTCTGGAAAAGTTCTATATGGCGCATGACGCTCATGAAATTATTTCATTCTTGTTGTTTATCAAAGTTAAACGAGGACAAATGATTCTCACGAATTGTGAGTGTGAATTGGACCGCAGCCTGTATCATTTATATGATTATATTATATATATAATGAGTTATTATATTAAGAATCTTTTAGATCCGGTTTTTCATTATCTGATTAACTTGTAATTTAGATTAATTAATCTCATTTAACTCGATAACAATATAAAAATTGTGTTTTTCTATTATGATTAATCACTAAACTAATAATTTTGTACTATAATAACTTTAAAAGTTCTTCACTGCAAAATCATCCGTTTAGCGATTAGATAGAAAAATAGAATTTTTACTTTATTATCAAGTTAAACACAATCACAAGTTAATCAGTAAATGAAAATTGGTTTAATGGTACGACTAGAATACTGATAATACAAAAAAATGTTTAATCTTGAGATTAAACCGTGATATTCTTATGTATTTCGACACTCTGAAATCGAATTCGATGTCCAAATTGCTCCATCACTTTTTTAAGTAAGTAAAACTTCATAAATCGATCACTCCTTTTAACTTTTTCAGATGCTCTTAACAAAATTTTCCAACCCAAGTTATTTCACTGAAAAAGAACCATTTAGTAGTAACCAACTTGCATATTAAAAACCAGGTCATAAATGGTTCTATAAATATTGGAAAATTGAATTATTTTCCGTTGGTAAAAAAAAAAAAAAAATCGTGATGGAGCAATTTAAACATCGAATTCGGTTTCAATGTCAAAATACATAAGAATACCATAGTCTAATCTCCAGATTAAATATTAAATTTGTGTGTGTGTGTGTGTGTGTGTGTGTGTGTGTGTAATCGTCTGTTGTCGAAATTAGTTTGCTAATGATTAGTTTGTTGGGGAGTCAACTACCGCGAGGGTAATTCATCTTGGAAACGCTCGGCCAATATCGGTTCGGTAACCCCATCGATATTCCGACAATTCCTCACCTCGATTTGGTATCCAGCGTACAAAGTAGGAGCAGATCGATCGTACGATCGATATCTCTGCGCGACGCGAACTGAAGGAATTTACTGCAACCGATCGACCGTCCGTGCAGGTCGACACTCGCGGCGAGTACACGAATCGGCGTGTATTGCACGCGCGTGCACACGAGACACGCGTGCACGTCATACACGACTAATATTCACTTTCACCCCACGACACGAATGTACAGTTCGCAGCCTGCGATGTGAAATAACGTCGTTCGTTAGCAGGACACGACATATAGGGGAGAAAAAAAAAGGGAAGTGTCTAACGAACGAGAAATTGCAAATAAAAGAGAGCACCGTTAGATGCTATTAAAACGGAATATTTATACGATAACGGAGGAAATGTCATTCTAATTAAATAAATAAATTACGAAAGCCAAACAGGACAGCCAGGCTATGTTACGAGCAATTCGTACTTGCATGAGAGAAACGTGGCTGGATTGTTATTTCAAAAGTTGTCAATAATTTACCAGTGATATCATGTAACTATTACAGAAATTACAGCTGGCATTTCTATCACGTGAACAATTTTATGCAACGGATAATAATCGAATATTTAACGCCGGAATTGAGAGGACGGTCGTATCAAATTAAAACTGATAAAGCTCAATTATATTTAATTTTCCGATAGAATCTTTTATCGGAACGTACCGATGAACTTTCCGTATTCAATGTATGGATCGAATATTTCACATTATATAAGTTTGCTAATTTAAGTACGGAAACTCGTCATTTGCGATAATGATGTAACAGTTATTAGTAACTATCTAAATTTGAAGCTTTCGTAGTCGAAGATGAAAATTTACTTTAATCTTCGATAGCGAGCTCGGTGCACAATACAACGATATTAATCAGAGTTCTTACAGTCATGAAACGTGGCAAGTTTGCTCGAAATGATGTATTATTTGGGCCGCGCGAAATGGCGAAAGAGAGTTGCAGGTATTATATCATATTGCCACGTGTAGATAATAGACTGTGAATGGACAAGTTGAAACTCGAACAAAGCTCTTTCGCCGGTTAAATATTCCTTTCGACGCGAAGACAACTGGGAAGAAAGCTCCATTTCCACATCTCCCATTCACATGCTTTGGATTTACGTTCGCGAAGACACTTTGCGATAAAATAAATTTCATTTCTCTGAATTTGCGAAAACTTTTATCTCTTGAGGTACAACAGAGGTGATGCAAGCGACATTAGACAACACTGTCAAGTTTCTGAGCTTGCAAATGATTTCCCTCGAGTACTTTTTACGAGATCTTAGATTGAAGACAGTAAATGAAACTCTAAGGAGACGAAATTTGTTTTAAAACAAATGTGAACGTACTTTGCAATAACACTAATTAAACTATATGTTTTTCTCTCCGTTACGATTTGTACGTAGCAGACCTGCTTTAAAGCTTAACTTTCCAGTACCAAAGTGACATAGCGTTAAGTCATGTTAAGTACATAATTTTTACGTAACACCGAGGAAAGTTGTTTTATTAAAATAATTTTATATCTTCTTAAATTATTATTACCTAATGTGAAAATATTTATGCACAGGCTAGAATAAATATCAATAAGAATGGCATTTCTTGGTTTAATCAAAACATTTTTCTCAGTGTAGATGAAGAGAATCGTGTTAGTTTTGGATCATTCTACATATTTTATGCAATTTCAACTCTATTTTTAGATCGTTGTCTAAAAAAAATGTCACTTCGACACTTGGACAGCTTTTCAGAGGCAATCGTGAGAAACAAGCACAGCAGAAAAAGGGGAGGAAAAAACCGAACCGTCTCCGAACCGAAGTCGAAGGGAAACGCACAAAGGGAGCAGTTAGTCTTCTTACAGAAGCATTTACGCGAGAGATATTAACTATAATCGGTCACACACGACAGGGAGGACAGTCGTTCGCGGACGTCCGTATCGCACGAGAGTTCCTGCGGAACTGACAGCATTTCCGTACGGCAACGTAAAAATCACGAGACTTCCACCTCTTTCCACCCCCTCATCCCCTCCGCTCCCAGCCATCGGTCACGTGACCTTTTGCCTCCCGCCAGCGAGGATGCACTCTCGCCCTTCGCCACCCGTCCGTCCGCACAACCCCCAGGTCCATGACGCCCCTTTCGTGCTCGCCCCGAAAATGCTCGCAAAATCCTCGCCGGTAGCGTTTGTGGTCCGACATTCCGTTCATGTTCCCTCGCGATTGGTTTAAGCAAAACGACGACCAAGAGGAAATTGTACCTCAAACCGATAACCCATGAACGTTTCTGGTTTTGTTGAAACCTAACCGAAAATTGTTTAAGAAGCAGAAGTAGACAACAGCGCAAATGTACTGTTGTAAGTAAGAGAAAATGAAGCTGTAAAATGACTGCGATAGTTCACGAGACTTTAAGCGAAATTCTTATGTAATCCTAATTTCACTCTCGTACTTTTTTGTCAAGTTGAGATAATTATCAATGACATCATATAACAATAGATCGCAGAGATGACATTATTGATAATGTAAATTTGTAGAAAATTCTACATACATGAAGGGTCTAAATAATATATAGTATACGAACATTTAATGAGACTTCACTAAATAAGATTTTGAGATTTTAAAATTTTTTAATAATATAATTTCAATCTTATTACTTTTGTACATTTTTTTTATATCAAATAAAGATACGATATCGTAGAAAGATATCAAATAGTATATAAAGATAATATTACATCGTCTTAAGAAATTCAAGATTCTAAGTTATACATATAGATGTTGAGAAGTGAGTACGAATACGATATCAATAACTCAGCGCCAAGAAGTGATTTGAACCCTACCCTTTGAGTTTCGCAACTTTGATTATCCCTAGAGAATTTGAATCTCTTCAGACTCTGTGCATATTGTAATGAAATCAAATTCGAAGACATTATTCGTTGAAATTATTCAGTTCCATCGACATTATCTGAGATCAGATGTACATAATAATGTACATATTGGAAAACTAGTCAAAATTTTGAGAAAAATTAATTTTTTCGTATGAATTATTTGTTAAAATGGCCTTAAATCGAATTAAAAAATTTGTTTTAACTTGGATACATTCAAATCAGATCTGGAAGAAGTTAAGACGGCTGTTCCTACGACAATGACTTATATACACCTCTCTTATCAGGCTTATTAGGGCATACGTATATTAAAAATACTCACTCCTCTGCGCAAACGAGATTACACCGTGCATTTCGGTAGACGAAGAGCCATCCCCGAACGCCCTTCTTATCAAACATAAGAACAATCATAAATCATTCGTTTATTACGAAAACGACTGTTTACCGAATAAACGTAGATAGCTCAGGTAAATAACGGTCTCACTGTAAATCTCCAACTCGGCTTCGTGTATCTGCGATAATTGCGACACGTATGCTCTCGAGATGCGCTCTTGACGCGCTAGAGAGCTTACGTTAAATTTGACCCGCCTGTTTGCCGCTGAAGCATCACATAATTTCTCAACAGACCTCGAATTACTACGTTATATTTCACATTTTGAAGATATTGTGCGATGATAATTCGCGTGTTTTAATTTGCTCGCCGAATATATATAAATCTACACGGAAAAAAAAAACCGATTTTGCTGAAGTATCTCTAAAAATTTAGCTATAGATACAAATCTGAAAATAATTTGGTTCACCATCAAAACGTAGGAATCTCAAGCACGATGAGTAATACTGCAAAAAGTTTTGACATTTTTTAATAACAAGTTTGAACGTTCCACATACTTGTGATTCAGCGAAATTATTTTCAGATTTGTACTTAGCTTAAATACTACAGTAAAATCGTCCTTTTTGCGTTCCTCTCGCCTTATGGCGATATTAAGATTGCAGAAAAGATTTAATTTCGGTCACAATAATCTTCTTTTCCACGATCGCAATTTTACAAAAAATTTTCGAAAGATTTCGGAATTGGTTCCAAGTTATCGACCAAAATCTCACCTGCCACTTCCGGGAGTTCTCACGACGTCGTAGCGAACACTAGGCTTCCTGCGACGATCTCTTGGACTTCTCAGGATCTCCCTGCCGTTTCTGAACGTTTCTTGAACGATATCGCGCGGGTGGGTGTGAGTCTTTAGCGGTTGATACGCTTCGGTGATCGCGCAGACGCCGATGCAGCCGCAGCACTTGGACATCGCGCTCGAACTCTTTCAACACGACGATCGAATCCGCGCCTCCCGCAACGTTCAGTCCTTTTTTTCACCGTTGCTGGTTTTCTATACCATCGCAATCCCCCGAACTGCTTTACTTTCCGGTACACCAGAGCTCTGGTATCGACATCGTCTGCACGTCGTATCGCTTGTAAGAGGAAATACACGAGGCGCAACTTTTGCGCTGCTCTTTGGCGAGAAAGCACGTCCGCCGATATAGAAGGCTCGAATGAAATACATTCGACGGTTTACAACAGGCACGGCGCCGCCGGTCCCGCACGGTCAGTGTAGGCTAGATATATGTATGTGTAAGAAACCATACGAATCGGAAAAGCCCGTGATCTATCGCGCGCGTGCTCTTTACGTGAACGAACTCCCGATAGCGTGGTGAAGTCACGGAATATTCTCTCAGCGCGCTTAAATATATATATACGTTACCAAGAGGAAACCACTTGAGAGATGAAAAGTTGAAATGATTTTTGAATATAGACTTCCATGCTCTCGCAATTCGCGCGTCGACATTTTATTTAAAGCGGATATGGAGAGTATGAATTCAATTTTCGAACGCTGTAAATATGGAGTCTGTTTTTTGTGACTGAAAAATATACACTTTTGGAACTTAAAGTGCGATATACGTGTTTAATATTTGGAGAAAGCAAAAAAGAGTTCTCTAGTACAGTTTAGAGGAGGACCAAAAAATAGATCAATGGAAAAAGTGGCTGATTCTTGTGTTTTTTGTCGCCATCGTGAATAAGAATAATGGAAATTATTTTCTCACACGTACACACCTTGATGTTTCCAATTAAGGCTAGAAATTCTATGACAAAGCCTGATCAATTTTGTCAATAAGAATGAGGAAGAAGGGTATTTTTCTATATGCTATCTCATTCTAACTTGTTAAAGAACAAAAATGGTCAATCAAAAATTTGTCATCTCGTGGCCAGACACTATTAGAGTCTCTAGTCAATTCTATTATGATCCTTAGAAGATAAAGTCTGACAGCACTACAAATGGCTGTGTATATACACAGAGAGAATTTTTTCTTAGAGTTCACCCTGAAAATATGGTAGTCCCGGGACAACATTTCGAAGAATTTTATGTAAATTTCTCTCATTCAGCAACAAAACTACAATAAAATATATAATAAGTTTGATTAATTTTACTGAAGTGCAAGAAAAAATTTTTTAAATATTGTATTGTTACTACAAAAAATACCATATTTTCAGGATAAATTATAAACGATAATTCCATCCGTGTACAAATCTGGTATGAGTATATGTGTGAATCTGATGTATGTGTTATACTTTTAGTATTGCCATTTTGAATTTTAGGATTGACCAATGAAAACAATCACGATGAGTGACTAGACTCTTATTTTCTAGAAACACTATCGTCATTAATTAAAAGTAATACATCAATGTTTCTATTTGCACTGGACAATGTAACTGTTATATTACATTTATATTATCGAGTGCGAAATTACATTGAAGTTACTCTTAGTTCGTGTCCATTGGATTTTAATCGTTAAAAAATCCTCTAAGATGCAACGAATCGATAATGACGAAACAAAAATGGGACATACATTGGATATAAGTGAAGTAACGGTCAGGTTTCAAAGTCAAATATTTTGAAGCGATTTAGGCACTAAATGGCATTCTGGATTGGCACATCTCGTACTTGAGATTCGGAGAAGCGCGAGACAAAACCGAGAGATCGCGAAAGGACCGATCGGAATGTGCGCAGCGACGTGTATCGCACGCGCACGAAACAATGCCGAAATTGAACCGGCTGCGTATCCGTCTGTAGGAATTGCTGGCACGTACACCGGGAATGTCGTTTCAGTTACAAACGCCGTAACTTTACCGATCCCCGATCCCCGCGCCGTGCTTCTTAATAATTGTTCGGCAATTTTTAATATTCAGCTCGCCCTGGGTGTGTTGTAGCTGACGGTTCACCGCTACGTGACGATGTTCGATCGCGCGTGTCCTACTCGCAATGAGGTTCCTGAGGTTGTCCCGAGAATGTCCCACGGTAGTTAAAATTCATTCGATCCTACGAAAATCCCAAACGAGAACAATACGATTCGGAAAATAGCTTCTGCTTAAAAAAAAAAGAAAAGAAAAAAAAATTACCAATGTCCGTTGAGATTCTACATTGAAATGAGAAAAATGCGATTGAAAATGGAAGAATCAGAAAATTCTAATTACATTTCAATCAGAATTCTAATTATCGTAATTAAAATTCTAGTAGATTTTCTCCAGAAAATTCTCATTCGTCTATTTTTAATCAGAATTTCAATTAATACAATCAGACATTTTTTTCTCAGTGTATATTTTGATAAAATATACGTCATATTTTGATGAAAAAAATAATTATTATTTACCTCAACTATCAACTTTTTCATAAAGATTTAAGTAGCATCGGTAAAAAAAATATTCTCCATTTTATTTTAAAAAAAAAAAAGATAATATTTCTATTATTGTTGTTATTAATTTTTGCCCCGATGCTGTTTTCATTCGATTTATTTTCTATTTCGGTTAAAATTTCGGAAACTGATCGATCGAACGCACCTCGCGTTACGCGTTATATGTCGAAGAACGATTGAAAATTCGCGAGTTCCCTCGCGATGAACGCTTGGGATGATACTGAGAGGAGTTCTTGCCGAAGGGCGAAGATGAAGAAGAAATAGAAGAAGAGTCAAAGAGTGGAGAGGAGCGCGTGTCCTCCGTCTGTGCGTCAGCGGTGCGTGACGCATAGCGATTTAAATAAGCATACAATATTTTCTTAACAAGAAACGGCGTATCCTCGCAATTATTTGACGTAAATACGAAAGCATCATCATTTTTCCAAAAAAAAAAATAATAATAATTAAGCAATATTAAACGATAGATTATCTTCTTCATTCAGAGATGAAAATATTGATCAATGTTAGAGTCAGTTTCTTGCGAATCTGACTTTATTCATTGTGGAACGTTTGCGCGGTTCTCGGAATATTTCGAGCATACGCGGAAATGGTCTGTCAAATGGTCAATCCACCGAATGTTACGCCAATGTGTCGACCGTACGATTGCATCGTATAAGAATATTCATCGGCACACACCGCGAGAACGCGTTTGCTCGACACACGCATCGCTGTAGTCTGCAAACCAAGCGGATCAACAACCGGACGTGGCTGTGGACTGCAGCTTCTTTTGCGTTTCGTCTGCTCCTTGTCGAGCGCATGGCAAGCACGATGCACGCGGAAGATTTAACGCGCCTCGCTTGATCGCTCGTTTGTGCGAGAGAACAAATTGAGGAAGTAACCTTTTTTTTTTTTTTCGCAAAAGGAAGCAAGGCTGGTTATGTTTTAATTGGTGCAATTAATAAGATGTAATTATCTAGAAATAATTAATCATATATCGGTACCAGAATTCAAGTGAAATAAGACTGGAATTCAAGAGCAGACTGAGCAAAAATGCTGTTATTAATGACGGAGCGTTTTTCTTGCAGTAGACACCGGATAAGCTCCAGGCGAGGCTCCAGACGAAAAATGGCAATGGCCGTTAATGCGCTGCGAAACGGGGGAGTAAATTACGGTGGAAAAGGGTGGCGGTTCGGAATCGACATGTTGGGCAAACTCGGAGCGCCGAAAACTAGAGGGTCCTAAAGTGAGAGATTGCTCATCCCGTTTACACAACTTCTGTTTGGTCCACCAAACCTATTTTTTAGGATCTGCTCAAAATAGAATGAGATATATGGATACCTCTTTCTATCTCATACTGAAAAAAAAAAAACTAAATTTTAATAAATACCTTTTTTAAAAAGTATGCAACATAAATATACATTAATTAATAATTAATAAATAATATACATTAATTAATAATTAATTAAATATACATTTATTTGATATGAAAAATAGTAATTTGATTTAACTATCATTTCTTTATTGAGTAAATATTTATTTATTTATTATTGTTGCAAATGTTTACTCAGTATTATTCAAATAGATATTATTAAGATTTAGTGTACAATAATTTTTTTCAGTGTACGCACAAATTATCTCATTCTATCTTAAGCACATGAAAGCATCCTGAAAAATATGGCGGACTAAACGATGTCAAATCTCTTACACGAAGATCCCTATCGAAAAGCAGACACGTGCGCGCCATAAGAGCGACGATCTCACGCCTCGCAAATCCGGATCTCGTTTTCGTCCGCCATTCTCCACTGCAAAACGTTTTGTTAATCTGTCGCGCACCGGGCTGCTGAAATAACGGAGTGCGCGTGCAAATTCCGTGTGCACAATCAGTGCAAAGCCGTGACGCTCGGGATTTTAATAGGTAGCTTCTGCACTTCGCTAGATCGATTATAAATCACGTTGGAGAATTAAATCTCATGATTTGCCACAATTATCCAAGCATGATGGATCACGTAACGGACAGAGTAATGCATGGTACATATACTGAGAGCGATGTGTATGTATATATAAAGTGCGCTTCGCCGCAAATCGCGGAAATACGAAGGGCGATGAGAGTGAGATACGACTGGAGTTTATTTCCCTAACGTGCACATCTTGCTCTACTACATCTCTTCGAGACATATATTTTCTGTCAGTTTTGACATGAAACATGAAAATATCCCTCTGTAATAATATCTTCAATTTTCTATCTTTTTTTAGATTGCTATATTTATATCGAGTTTATCATTTATGCGAGCTTAAAATATCCTTCCTTTGATGTAATTCTTCGTTATATTGTAGCTTACGCTTAAAATTAAAATTAAGAGCTTAGTGCTTAAGTAAAAAAAGATTTGACGATGTAAAAATAAGCGTAATATAATATTTAGCGATTTCAGATTACGAAAGCTACGTCTATATAGCAAAAGAAAAGTGTCAGGCTTATCACAATAAGTATCAAGTTTAAATTCATTTAAAGAAGATTATTCTGTTAGTAAATGTATATCTAGAGATCCACAATTACTATACAATACTTAAATAGCTCGAAATCAATTAAATTTAGAAAAGTCGCGACTTTGCGAAGTCATATTTTTTTAGTTATAAACTATCAAAATTAACTAATAATACTATTTTGAGATCAGCTTCATAATTATATTTATACTGATCTACCAACTA